AGAATGCGTTTTGACATTTACAACCGTGAATTTTTATATATTTAAATGCGCGTCACATTTTCTTATTTGATGTCGATCATTTTATCTCATTAGCTAACGGATTTGCAATTAAAATTATCAAAAGAGATGTCCAAAGGTATCATACTAGTGATGCCCAAATATTAAAAATTATAAAGGAGTGCCACTAGCACCAATGAGAAAAATACTGGTGCAGCAGAATCTGGAAAAAGAAAAGCAGGAATGTAAAAAAAATAGAGAACAACAAAAAATAGCAGCAGTAAGAATTTTTTGTTTTCATTGTATTAATATACTAACTATATCACTATTGGTAAAATTTTAAATATATTTTCAGAAAATTAATTGGAAAAAAAAGGGGTTCGTCCACTTTCACCAAAGTAAAAGTGAACAACTAAAAAACCTCCTTCCACATGATATTTCAGAGTGTCAAGCTCTAAATGACATAAAAAAAATTGTGGCCAAAAGTGGGTACTACAGCGATGAGATATCAGAAACGGATGATGAACTTGCCGATGATGAAAGAAGGAAAAAGATTCAACATCCTCTTGATGATGACCTCAATAATCATGTGGTGAAGGTTATAAAAAAAGGATGGCAGTCGAAAAAAGTAATTATTACAATAGATAATTTATATCTATATTGATACCAGTACTAATATACTTTATATACTTTTTAGTTAAAGCAAATTTTGTTGCTATGCAAAGATACTTCGCTAGCACAAAATTATAATAAGCTGAAATGGAATGGTGGGAAACTGATATCGATGATAACTCAACACCACCAGCTGGGGCTCCTAGCTGGTGTATTTCATGCAATTACGTTCTTGCTATTTCACTTGGTCCTGTTATAAATTCTCCTAGTGCTGGTGATGATTCTGATAATTATTTAGAGTCTTGTGCTATTGCCTCTAATACACATTTTGTATCTGGTTCTGCCCTGTCTAGTTCTGCTCTGTCTGGTTCTGCTTCCAATACATATTCTGGATCTGGGTCTGGATTTGGTGCTATTGCTTCCGATACTAATGCTGCCTCCGATACTAATCGATATGCTGCTCCTGATGCTAATTATTATTCTGCTCCTAATACTAACTACTATGCTGCTCCTAATGCTAATCATTCTGATGCCTCCAAAAATAATCGTTCTGCTGCCTCTGATACTAATCGTTCTGATACAAATAATCGCTCTGCTGCCCCTGTTATTAATATTAATACTCCTAAAACAATTCGTGGTAAAAGTTCTCCTGGTATTAATTTTAATATCATATCTGGTATGATTTTTAATGTTTCTAATACAAATTATTTAAGATTTTTACTAATGTTTTATTTATATAATTTTTGAAGGGACTACTAATAGCAATAATAATAATGCTGATAGTAATCATAAATCTGGTAATATATTCGATAGTTTTTATATGACTTGCTATATTTCTAATTAATTTGTTATATGTTAATAATTATTTTATAATTTAGAATTAAA